TGGAATGTCTCTAACCTTTGCATTCGAACCACCAGTAATTATCAGTACTTCTTGATTGCATGTTTGATTAATTTCAGACTGAAGAAGTTGGTAGAATTTTTCAATTTCCTCATCACTGGCTTTAGTAGTTGGCGCGTACATTTGAATAATAGTGGTATTGACTGATCTTCCTTGTAGGCGTAAAGATATTATCCTATCACCGACAATGTTGTACTTCATAACACTTCTTGATACATTCATTTTGATGATGAATGTGCTATTCCTCTTCAATCTGCCATTCCCGACATAGTAAACCATGTGATTGTCAGATTTGTCAGATTCAAAATGGCCAATACCAGTCGATTTCACTCACTAATGTCTAGGATATCGATGTTTATGCGTTCCATTTCTTTTTTTTTCCATTTCATTTTGAGTTTCCAATTTTTCTAGATTCATACATCACACATTTAATGTTCCAATTATTAAAAGATGTTTACAGCTGTTTCTCTTCATTTTGAGTTGTGCCCACCAGCAAGTAAAGGTTTTGAGGGCTTTACTCCATTAGCATCATCACGGTCAACTCCACTATGAGGAGGCAGTTCTTCTCCACTTGCATTTTTAGTTCCTTCCAATTTGCAGGCCTCATCTTCTGGCACTGTATCTGACAATACTCTGGTGCTCTTCATCATGTTTCAATATTAATAATCTGGTGGTGACAGTGTTCTACTTCATACAATTTTCAGTGACTAAATATTCGGAAGTAGTCCGTCTTTCTTTCTGCCTAGTTTGTCTTCGTCTGGAAGCTCATCTGAAACCTGTCCTCAGTGGGTGACCCTTTTGGCATTCAAAATACCCATGGCATCGCTTCCAGAACCACAGCAACACATAAGCCACCACAGACAAACTGACAGATGAGTGGTGGGCACACTGTAGACATTAATACATATTTTAAATTTAATTTTGTCTGTCTATAATGAACCAAATACTGAATAGTAAACTAATACTGTGTTTGATTTTCTTTGTCAACATTTTAAACATTAACCATGCAATGTCCCCCCAATGGAGACCTATGCATGTGAAAGGTTAGCAATGAATATGGGAGACCAGAAAAGAATCAATTAATTTGAATTATGATGTTGACAAAGAGTATTTAATATGCCATGGACTTTCAAAAGAATGAACAACCTGTCCTGGAAAAAGTACAGCCAGAATATTCCTTGGAGTCAAGGATGGTGAGACTTTGTCTACATACTTTGGACATGTTGGCAGAAGGGATCAGTCCCTGGTGAAGGACATCATGAATGGTAATGTAGAGGGTCAGCAAAGAAGAGAAAGACCCTCAGTGAGGTGTACTGACACAGTGGTTGCAACAATGGGTTCAAATAAAATCATTGGAAGGAAGACACAAGACTGGGAGTGTTTCGTTCTGTTACACACAGAGTCAAAACCAACTCAATGGCACCTAACAACAACAACAGAAATAAAACAATTGCCTCAACTATTAGAACAAAGCGTTTTGGAAATTCTACCTATTGAACTATCTTACTCATATATAAGTGAAGTAAAATGAATATAAAAGTATTTAAAGTTCTTCAGGGGGGAAAAAGGTCTAGAAAATAGCTGTTAACAACACTGGTAAAATGTTGATAACTATTAAAGTCATTATACTCTTTACTTTCATCTGTGCTTGAAAACATATGTAATAAAATGTTTTCTAAAACGCATAGAACTATACTTACAAAGTGTCATGTATTTTTCACTCTTCCTGAAGAGCATTTTAGGACTATTTTTTGTTTGAAGAAGAAAGCCAAGGCTTTTTTTAGGACCAAGTAGCATGTTTAGTCCAATGATTAACATCATGGTCCCTATTAAAAGAGAAACAAACAATATATTATATTTCATCCCCAAATCCTTCCAATGGTATAGTCCAGGAGCTGACATGTAGTGTAAATGAGAAAACCTTGGAAATTTAGTCACTGAGTTAATAATTTAGCTCATTACCTTATTCAGTAAATTACTCTAGTAGTAATTGTAATAATTAGAGCCATTATAAGAAATCTGTTAGAGTTCTAGGACTCATCCTCTAATTGAGAGGACCCTAGTTTTTCTGTGATAAGAGATTTCTTTGAATTTCCTGAGTGTTTTCTAGTTGTTGCTGACAGCCTAAGTCACTGGCTGCTGACTGGGCAGGGGACGCAAGAGCACAAGAGAACGGAGCTTTCAGAACGGGCTGAGGGACTCACTGTTCTCCACTGCAAGGACTACACATTTACCAAGTTGACGAGGACAGCAAAGGATGTATGTGTAGGTTCTACACATGACAGCACTTGTGGCAATACTTCTGACCTGGGATTCAGGAATTCTGAGCACAAGGTCCTTGTAGAAAATGCATGTTAGAACTCACACTGTGCCAATAAGGCTGGTTAATAAAGTTGAGCTAAATTAAGATGCTGTGCAATGTAGTTACATATACAGTTTACATCCTTCTAAAACCATACATAATCAGAGTAGAAACAGATATGACTGAGTAATATGTAAATCAGGAAAGTAAAGTTTAATCTAGCAAAAAAGTTATGACTAGTTTCTAAAAAAAGCCTAGAAAGTAAATATGGAGCTAATTTCTAATATCATGTGGAATCTTTGCAATTCAGTGGTGGTAAAAGCTATTCTGAACATTACCAGTATCCCTGGTTTTCTTTGTGCCTTATCAGTATGACGTCAATGCTTCCTAAAAATGTCTTAGGTGTATGAGGCACTAACAAATCAAATTTAGCATTCCCCATAAGCAGTGAGAAGCAGCTCTGGTAGCGTAGTGGTTACGAATTGGGCTGCTAACCTCAGGGTCAGCAGTTCGAAACTGCCAGCTGTCCCGTGGGAGAAAGATGAGGCTTTCTGCTCCTGTAAAGATTTATAGCCTCGGAAACCCTGTGCAGGGTCACTATGAATCAGAACCAACTCCATGGCACATAACAACAACAACAACAAATAGCAGTGAGAAGGAATTTTAAAAGCTTATCACATAACTTTCTGAAGAAACAAGTTTATGCACAGAATGGAATGGAATATTTGGGGACTCTTACATTTATCCGTTTTCTCCACACAGCTGACCCCTAATCAAGTTGGAGTTAGAAAAAAGCAGGGCATCGAACAGGAAGATAGAGTAGGACAGAGTACAACCCCTGAAAGAAACCAGAAAAGATACAAAGTTTGCAAAGCCAAGGTTATCCCAGAGGAAATGCAGCAGTGTATTTCCAATCAGATGAGAGCTGGTAATTAACAGAGATACAAAATCCTCAAAAGGTGTTTCTAAAATATAGTTTATGACACTTAAAATCAGCCTGTCCTGCCAGATGTCTTACTTGTGGGATTATAAAAGTTTACCCCACCAGGGTAGTGGTGCGGTGTTATAGGATAAGCACTAGACTGCTACCATAAGGTTGGCAGTTCAACCCATCAGCTGTTCTTTGGAAGCCCTATAAAGGGTCAGAACGGACTCAATAACCCTTAACAACAACAGTAATTGGTTATACGCAGAGACATAATAAGCAAACAAAACAGAACACAAGTACTATGCAATACATTTCCTTTGTAGAACTCATTCCAATTGTATTTTCATATTCACGTGCGTTTGTCTCTTTTTATTAATGGTGTTTCCCCCACTAGACTTAAAATTTCAGGTGGGCAAAAATAGTGTCTTGGATCTGTTGTTGTTGTTGCTGTTAAGTGCCATCGAGTTGATTCTGACCCATAGCGACCCTCTAGAGGGTTTCCAAGGAGCGTTCAAACCGACTGTGCAGCTTAGCTCATTAACCTACAGTGCCACACCAGGACTCCCTTGGATCTGTAGCACCTGGTAATGTCCCTGTTTTTAAGTGAATAAATGACTAAGTAGAAAGATAAATTTCTACTTAGTGAGCAACATGAGTTGGCTCCCTTATTAATATTTTTTGTCTCCTCATTTCTCAAAGAGATTATTCTGGAAACACCTGATATATTTTAAACTAAAATGATAGAGAACATTTGATTTACGTATGCCTGATCTACATCGATAATTTCATTACTGCTAGATGACAATTTAAAAAATATTAGATACATATCTTATATGTATCTTGATTATATCAGGATTGTATCAAGATTATTAGACTAAGCTAGGTTTTTGAAATCTTAATCTTAGTATATAAATTCATAATCACTGAAATAAAAAGTGAATTTATTCTATAACTTGAGGCTTTGTCATTTAAAATGAGATACCTATATGCAAAATATGTTTTGAAAGATAAATTTCAAGGGAACCAAAAAAACCCCAAAAAATTCAGTCTATTTTTCAACTTATGGAGTAACAACATGAGCACACGATCAAATCTTTTCCCAACATATCAAATGCCGCAAATGTGACATGTTGTTACTATTAAGTGCCATGGAGTCAGTTGCGACATATAGTGACCCTGTGTAGAGTTTCCAAGGAGTGACTGGTAGGTTTGACCTGCCGACCTTGTGGTTAGCTGTCCAGTGTTGATCCCACAATGCCACATCAGGATCTGATTTATACTTTAGTATAAATTAATTTTTTCACAACTAATCCACTAAAATCAACTTTGCAGTAAGAGATATTATGGACACTCACTGACAGATTTTTCTAAATTTGTTACTGTAATAATTTAGACACTACTCATGTTTTTGTTTCTGGTTTTTTTGGTTTTGTTTCATAATTTTCCCATCTGAAAGTCTATTTCCTGAGAAAGGCAAGATTATCCTATTTAAGTTTACCAACCCAAACCCAAGCCCAAAGCTGTTGAGTCAATTCTGACCCATAGAGATCCTGTAGGACAAAGCAAACCTGCCCCCAAAACTTTCCAAGGCTATAATCTTGATGGAAATACACTGTCATACCTTACTTCTGCAGGGCAGCTGGTGGGTTCAAACAGCTGCCCTTCCTGTTAACAGTCTAGTGCTTCAATCAGTGTGCCAGTAAGCCCTCTTTTATTTCCACCAGGCATATACATTGGTAACTCTTGGTCAGATCTGAGGTGTATTTTTACATAGTTAATTTAATCCAGAACTTTCAAGTGTACTTACCCAAAAGCACATCAGATCTTTCTCTAGCATAGACACCTCCTGGAACAAACTTAAAAGCTGTGCACCATGCACAGAAAAACATTTCTAGAAGATAGAATACCATGGCAACTGTCATGGCTTTCCCAGGACTTGTCCCTGAGCTAATAAGGTGTCCAAGTACTTGTGGCCAGAGGGATGCCGTGAAGATGGCAAGCACGCAGCCAGAAACAGCAGCTGACCACGTGGGCAGGTAAAGGAGTCCTGTAGCTGAAGCTGCTCCTGTTTGTGAAAGAGAGAGAAAAAGAAGAAGAATCAGACCGAAAAGCACCAATAGCCTCTTCTATTTTAAAAAAGGCCAGGAGGGATAATGCTGGTGGTGGTTGTGTGCCACCAAGTTGGTTCTGACTCATAGCGACCCAGTATAGGGTTTCCGAGGAAGGGATGATGAGTTTGAACCATCTACCTTGTAATTCAAACAGATGATGCAGTCCTGCACTTAACCTACAGCGCCCCACCAGGGTAGAAAGCCTCATCTTTCTCCTGCGGAGCAACTGGTAGATTGAAACAACTGACCTTTCAGTTAGCAACCCAACTCATAATCCAACTCACAGCAACCCTGTATAGGGTTTCCTAGGGGCTGCTAGCTGGTGAGTTTGAACCGCTGACCTTTCAGTTCAAATCGACCTTGCAGTCCAGTGCATTATCCTATGGCACCACACCAGGACTTCAAGGGGAATAGTAAATTTATAGAATTTATGACCTTTTAGAACATGAGGACAACTGAGGGGAAAACTGATCTAATCTCCTGACAGATGAGAAGACTGAGGTTTATCAAGTTTAAAGATATGTCACAAATTGTTGAAGAACAGGATTTCAATCTACCCAAAGGTAGCATAGTGGTTACGAATCGGACTGTGAACCGCAAGGTCAGCAGTTCGAAACTACCAGTTGTTCCACGAGAGAAAGATGAGGCTTTCTGCTCCCGTAAAGATTTACAGCCTCAGAAACCCTGTACAGAGTCGCCATGCGTTGGAACCGACTCCACTGCACATAACCACCACCACCATGGAGTCCTGGTGTGGCGCTCTGAGTTAACGCGCCAGACTGCAAAGTTGGTGGTTCAAGCTCACCAGTTGCTCCTTGGAAACCCCATACAGGGTCCCTATGGGTCGGAACCAACTCAATGGCACTTAACAACATGGCACCATGAAATAAAGTTCTGGGTATCTGCTTTTGTAGATAATATAGCCAAGAAAACCCCATGGAACACAGTTCTACTCTGGAACACACAATTCAACAGCAAACGGTTCAGTTTTTTGTTTTTGGGGGTTTTTAAGGCCAAAGTGTTTTGTTCAAGTCACACAACTAGTTATTGGTACAAGTATCCTAGCTAGTTACTGACACAAGTAGAGGTGGAATGTAGGTCTAGTAAATCTCAGCAGAATGCTAGTTTTTACAAGGACAGGGGCAGGAAGGAAGCAATTTTAGATTATTTGTGTTAAGATTTTAATATTGAAGAAAACAGAAATTATTTGTAATTACCAAAAACATATTTTCTATATTTAGCCACCTAGATCCAGGACATGACCAAAAAAAAAAAAGCAAGATGGTTTCTAGAATGTTTTTTTAAGGAACTTCCTGAAGGAATAAAGATCCAATATAAATGCTGCTCCTTAGTCCTACAATATGTAAATAAATGTACCCAACCACACATTGGGATGGAGCCAGTGAAGCGCAATATTAGTTAAAAATTCTGAAGTCAGTTATTTAATGGCTCAACGTTATTGGAGACTGTACAATCTGCCCCAGTAGGTACTTAGTTCATGTTTGTTAGTTTGTTTAGTCAACGCTGAAGTAATATAACATTGCTCCTAATTCCTATGAAATCAACTTTGAGATGGTATTTCATGGCCCCAAGATACCCTATTTTGAAATTATCATAATAACACCTTGACATAAATGATATTTTCTAGACTACTTGTGGAGTGTTGTGGAGTCCTGGTGTGGTGCTGCGGGTTAATGTGTTAGATTGCAATACTGGTTTGCACCACAAGGTCGGCTGTTCAAGCTCACCGGCCGCTCTTTGGAAACCCTATACAGGGTCACTATGAGTTGGAAATGACTTGACAACACTTAACAACAACAGTCAGTGTACAATTGTCACCCATGTATTCATGGTATCTATAGTAGACTCTCCACTATTTGGGATATGAACTCCAAAAAAGGAGAAGTGGGGAGCAGAAAGTGGGGAGCAGAAGTGTGGAAAGAAAGCAGCTTTCTTGCCACGTGGCTCATTTCCATCACAGTGCCTCTTGTACCAACATCATAGGGCAATGCCATGTGACTTTCTATTCATCCTCATTCAAAAAGAACATCACAACCTAGCAACCCCACTCCTCAGATACAGATTCACAATTGCCAAAAGGTGGAAACAACTCAAGTGGTCATCAAGAGATGAATGGGTAAACAAGATAGGGTCCATACATACAAGGGACTGTTACTCAGCCATAGAGAGAAATGAAGTGCTGATGCATGCTATAACATGGATGAACCTTGAAAACATTATTTTACATGAAGAAAGTCAGACACGAAAGAAAAGCCACTGTATGATCCTCACTTGTCTGAAATATTTAGAACAGGCAAATGCATAGAGGCTGAAATTAGAGTCTAACAAGGGCAGCGGGAAGGGTGAAACGGGAACTATGCTTAAGAGGTACTAAATTTCTGTTAAACAAACAAAGTTACTGCCATCGAGTTGATTCTGACTCATTGCCACCCTATGGGACAGAGAAGGTTTCTGAGGCTGTAAATCTTTACAGAAGCAGACTGCCTCATCTTTCTCCAGTGAAGAGACTGGTGGGTTTGAACCGCCAACCTTTCGGTGAACAGTCCAATACTTAACCCACTTTGCCATCAGTGCTCCTTAGTTTCTGTTAAAGATGAGGAACAAATCTGGAAACAGATAGTTGCACAATATAGTGAATGTGGCTAATGTCACTACATTGTACACATGACAATAGTTGAAAAGACAAATGTTTTGTGACCTATATTTCACCACAAAAACAATTTTAAGAAAGATCATCATACAAATGAACATAAGGACTAGACTTCAGGGTCTTCTACAAACTATATGGTTTAGCTCCATGTGAGATTTTCAAACATTTAGATCCTAGAAATGGTTATTTTCATGAATAAAAGAATTGTTTTCATTTGGAAATAAAACAAGTGTAACGCCTAAAAGAAATGGTTAATGTTCAATCATTTCAAAAGGTAGCATATGATCAAGAGACAATGATGCTGGAGGAAGAAATCCAGGGTGCATTGAAGGAATTGGCCTTTGGATGAGTGAAGGTCACTTATATATAGCCACTTAATATCGAACAAGGCACAAGGAATTGAGGGGAAAAAAAATGGAAATCTTTCAACAAAGTGAAACAGCGCTCGAGGCACTCACTCATCTATGCAAAAAAACCTGGTCAATTGACTGGAAGAGATCTGTATTTAAGCCCATTCCAAAGAAAGGTGACCCAAC